CCCAGAACTGAGAGCATCACTTTAGATGCATTCTTCCTGCACAGAGGATGCCATGGCTGTGTGTCACCTCTTCTGATCTGCACTTTAATCAGTCCACAGAGTCAGACAAATCCAAGTTTAAAAACACTTTTTTTTTTTTTCCAATCACTAATTCTAGGACTCTGAACAAGTTACTTGTCCTCTCTAGGCTTTGTTTTACATATGTGAAATGTACCCCATGAGGCTGTTAGGAGGATTAAATTAGTTAATACATATAAAGTGTTTAACACATTAAGTGTTCAAAATTGGTGGTTATTAGTATTATTATCCTGAATCAATAACAATGCTTAACTTTTATCAGCTATGGATCACTGATATTAAGCATATGGTCAACTAAAGACTCAAATTTTTTTCACACAAATAAATAGCAAATCAGGTCTCCTCCTATTTGTACTGCTTTATTTTTGTTTTAACCTAAACACCAGATTCCAGATTTATCCTGCTAACATTTTGTCTTGCAGATTTCAAATTAGCATTCAAAGCTGTTGGATGGTTCTGAATTTTGATTTATCTTCTATAGTGTTAGTTATGCTCCCCAACTGTTACCTACAAACTCGATAAGCTTCCCTATGCTTGCACCTGACTCATGAATTTAAAACACAATCCAACAACCAGGAGATTGAACAAAGACTGGAATAACACTAGGGACTTCCTTCTCAGCTGACAGCGTCACTAACCTACTTTCTTTTGGTATGAAGACAAGCTCTGGATCCACTTAACAAATGCTTTCCCTTAGGAGACCATAAAATATTTTCACCAAAATAAAAATTCACTACATCTACAATTCCTCTTGAATTTACTAAATGTATAACCTTAGTAAATGAGATGAGATTCCTATAATTTTTTCTTAATGAACCAGTGTTGGTTCCCATTGATCGCTGAATTCAAGTTTAAATGCCCAGAACCCACTGGCTTCATAGTTTCTTCAAGTGTTAAGCAGGGATCATGCTCACACTCCTGTTCTGTAATCATTATGCTCTGCTTTCCAGTCCTATTTGACAATTAGGGTGTTTGCCAATCTGAAGTCTTTAGGCACATACCCCATTTGTTTGGGTTTTTCTCAAAGCTTATTGATAGTGCTGTGATTTTATCTCCAGTTGCCTACACATTGAGGTGATTCTGTCAGGGCTACTTTCTGAAAGTCCTTGACCCCTTACTCTTTAACAAGTTCTCATCTTCCTCTCTCCCTATCCCACACACTCCACCCAGCTCAGAAACCAGGGAAGTGTCAACCACTATGAAGTCTGTAGTGGCCTAAGCCCTGTAAAACCTGACTATTAGCATTTCTCCAATGCAGAATCAACTGAAACTTTTCTAAAGATAGGTTCCCAAATCTAACTTTGTCCACTTAGATCATCTAGGTGGCCACCTGGTCCACACAGATTGTCTTGTCCAGGCAATTTTTAATCAGCCAGCACCTTTTGAGAACTGGCCCACAAAATCCACAAGAACCCACTGTCTCTCTGCCTCATCCTGGACTTGGGAAGCCACCCTTGAACACACATGAAGGACTCCCAGGCCTTTCATCCAAGCATCCAGAAGCATACCTGGGATACCTTCTCTTCCCAGCCTGCCTTCCAGGTAATCTCTTTCCACCCAAACCCACACTCTTTACATTCCACCACGCTCCAGGCTCTTAGGAGGAACATAAACCAGTGCCTTGGAGACCACATTATGTTCTCAAATTTACCAGATCTGCCACATCTCAACTGGATGAAGAGGTATTCTGTTTGCAAACATTTGTGTTATGTCTCCTTCAGCCTTTGGATCAGTTTGAAGGGGGTTGTCTGGAGAGCAGGGATTGCCAGCATCCCTGAAGCTCCCTGTGCCCTGCCTGCAGGAAAGAGAGGTGGAGGCTCTCTCAGGCTTGGTGGATGAGATAGGGAGCTGCTGCAGGCTGTCACTCCCAAGGCAGGAAGCCCTGAGAGGTCTAGCTTGCTGTCCACATCTCACAGAGATACATCCATGTGGATGGTCCTGGGATAGTTATGTGTACACATTCAGATCAGACATTATCAACCTTTCTGCCTCCTGCAGAGGGACCCAGAGGGGAGACCCACAAACCACCAAGGGCATCTGGGATTAGCCCTGGAGTGATCCTCATGATCTGGCTGTGGAAAGAGCATGGTCTTGGCAGCCAGACTTACAGGCTGTGCAGCCCACCTCTGCTACCTATGCCAGTGTGACTTGGGTGAATCACTTAACCTTCCTAGACTAGTGCAGTGGTTGTAAAGGTTGCACAAGGTTAAGTGAGCTTCCAGAGTAAAGTTCCCAATGCAAAGCACAGAGTAGGCTTCCCTAACACAGCACTCCTGCCCCATGCCCTTTTTGGCCAAGCCCTCCCTCTATTGTATCAGAGCCTGCAGTTTCCTCTTCTGTTGTGCATGCTGAGCCTCCCCCAGCTCAACAGTCCTTTGACCATGATTCTCCAACAGTAATAGCTTTAATCAGGGGGATAGATGTTCACAGGAGAAAATGCATGAATGCAATTCAAGGCATGAGACTGGAAGTTGAGAGGACCTAGGTGCAAAGAGGAGCCAGGTGTCAGGGATTGGATAAAAAGAGAATAGTTATGAATAGAGGGAAAGGACATTTATAAAAGGTGAACTGAATTAAAAGAAGGGCAGACTTCTAAGGCAGCCAAGGGAGTGAACTCAGGCCTGCAAAGAACTCTGCATCCATCCAAGCCCCCGGGAAAGCGACTATGCAGTTTGTCAACACCGTGCCTTCAGCTGTCCTCTCTGGTCACAGCCAGGCCACTATCACTGCAGACTGTGGATTGATTTTTCTATGGACTCTGGAAACCAGGAAAGCCTCTCTCTGTTCGCCTGAGAGGTGAAAGTCCCCCTAAAGGTGGCTGTGGGCATTTTGGAAGCATACCTTTGTGCACATGGACACCACATGGTGGCCTGGCAGAGCCATGGCTCAAGAGCAGAGTAGCTAAATTGAAGCAACCAAAAGAACATCGAGTTATACCACACTCAATGCTTTGGGGCCCTCTGTACTGTACCCCAGGCATGGAGCCAAGGCTTAGCTTGCATGCCTCTAGAAAGGGGGCTCCCACCGAATGCATCCTAAAGTATCTTTAGATTTCAAAATGGGATCCTCCCTGTTGAAACCAATTTTGTATCCCTGTGGTCCTGACTCTGCTTTCAGGCTGATATAACCATCTCCAAATGTTTCATCCACAGGGTTCACAGGATCCCAGAACTGATGTGGACCTCACAGTGGCTCATCATAACAAGAAGTCAGCCCAGAACAAGGGGCAGGTGGCAATGTCAGAATCCTGAGGCAGAGGCGGGGAAGCAGGGAGATGAAGAAAGCCCTAGAGATAATTCTGAGGTACTCCAGGGCATGTACCATCACTTGAGAATCACGAGTACGACCAAAGAATCTGTTTTTCAGTTGGGGAAGGTAAGGCCCTGCTTGGAAGTGCTAATGCACAGGTTAACGTAAGTAAAAACACCCGTAGATTATGCCATGAGGCAGAGTCAGGCCATAGGAAAGGACAGAGAACACAGTAGGTTGATCTCTTTGAAACTAGTGACAATGGAGGCCCAGGGTGGCCTGGCAGGGGAAAGAAAGAGGGATAAACAAGGCTGTCAGTTTAGCAGGATCTGTGCATGTGACCTTAGGTAGAGCCCCCATTTGGGCTGGGGATGGTGGAGGCTGCAGATGGTAGGGGCTGCCCTGGATCACTGTGGAGAGCAGCCTTGCCCTGAGCCAGTGCCTGGTCCACAGCTTCTCCCAGCAATGACCCCCTGTGCAGCAGCCCAGCACCAGGGGCTTGGTCCTCTACCAACACGTGGCAGGGCCTTTACCTTGGATTGAAAGCCATAGCTACAGGATGCCCTTTGTGCAGCCCAAGTCAGCACCGGCCATGCTGGAACATAAGCTGCTCCATGGTACAGCTGCTGCTGTGAACGTCTTCGCATTACTTTCCCAGCTCAGGGAACTTGAAAGAAGGAGCAGTCTGGTCCATGGGAACTTTCGCCTTGGAGTCCAAGTTTACTCCCAGAAGATCCCCCCAAATGAGGGCATGCTTAGTGTGGGTGTGCCTGTCAGGCCTGTTTTCCGTACTCACTGCAGAGTGAACAGGAAGAAAAGGGCTTCCATTGCAACAGGGGGACTGAGGTGGGATGTGGCTTACAGAGCAAGCCTGTGGCCGAGCACAGCACAAAGTGCTGGGACAGATTTCTGAGGGCATCTGTGAAATTCGAAGTGAATTATTTAGAAATAGTCTGCCTCAAGGATCTGAGCATGTCGCTTTCTGGAGGCAGGAAGATGGCCCAACTGACCTAATAGGACCTTTTTCAGATCTTGCAATGTTGTAATTATAAAGATGAAAGGACCATTCTGACATAGAACTTTTTGTTGCACGTTGGTAAATTTTAGTTATAAGAATGTTTTATACACATAGGTTTTTAAAAAGAGAGGGGTGGGATAATGAGTGAGAAAAACTTTTAAAGATACTGCATAAAGGAAAATACTTGGGAGATATCCCAGTACTTTGGCCTCTTGGGTTCTGCTATCTTTTTAATTCCCTACATTCATGTTCTGTGGCTTATCTGTGAATTTGGTTAACACATTCCCTAGCCGCTCAATTGGATAAGATAAGGCAGAAGATGTTAATAGAGAACCCTCCATCTTTTCCCACTGAGTCTGATTTCAGAATTCATTGACTTGCTAAACTCAATCTTTTCCATGCATTCCGTGTCCTATGCAGGCTTATCAATGCAGAAGATAATCTACCCACCAGGCATCCAATGAGTGCCCACAATAGGCCAGGCAGCCTGTGGTCCCCAGGGACTTGCAGAGAGAGGCTGCCTCAAGCACTGGGGGCTGGTAGAGTACTTACCATTGGGACCAGCCGGTCTGGCTACAAAGAGAGTTCTAAGCACTGGCCCACTTGACTCAGTGGCCCACCGGGGGTCAGGCGGTGGTGTCTGCTTTCTACTCACCTCGGCCCGTGCTGTAATGCTGGAGCTTATCACTGTACACGGCCTCTTTGCTATAAGCCCGTTTCCTGCGGATGCAGACAAGAGGGGCTTTCTTAGCCAGGCCGCATGCACATCCACCCTCTGCTCCACCCACCTCCGCCCGGGCCTCACGTCCAGATGGAGGCTCACCAGGGCCTTTCCTGGGATTGGGGACAGGGCAGCTCTCACTCTAAGATTTTGCTCCTGCCATGGCCAGCATTCTGGTTGACCACCAATCGCTCCTGTGGGCAGATGAATCTGCTTCCCAGTCAAGGTCTTACAGCAGCCGGGCAGGGCGGTGGGCCCCCAGTCAGGGGGCAGCAGTGAGGAGGATGCAGAACCGCTTGGGAGGGAGCCAAGTAATGGGGCTCTGTGAGGCAGAATCTGTGCTAACCACCAAAGCAGCAGCGTTAAAAATTCACAAGGCCTTCAGGGCCAGTCTTTCTGCAAAACTGGGAGCTCCTCTTTTCCTCCCCACCTCCTCTCCTGCTCCCCTGCCCTTTGCCGGCTGCCCAGGGCCTGAGCTCTCTAACTGGAGAATGGGCTGCGCTCAGGCTGTGATGCTCCAGTGGGTCAAATGCAATTTTGCAACTGTCACTCTGAAAAGCCGTTGTGTGTGAGGGGGGCTAAAAGTCTTGGCTAAAATGAGGTTTGAGGATGAATGCTGTTTACTTATAGCTTTGCCCAGCTCTCATACACATTTTATCACAGGCACAGAGAAAATAAATAATCTGGAGAATTCCAGGCTGCCTGTGGATTGAGGTGGAGTGATGATCGTGTCCGTGAATGGCCAGGCCCTGTCTGGTCCATGCGGGCTCAGAAGGGGCACGTGGAGAGGGGCTTCCTGGGTCAGAAGGGAGCAGGCAGGAGGAGAAGACGTACCTGCTACAGACGATGGAGATGGCCACCAAGGACACGACGAACACGACCCCCGCCGCTGCTGAGCCAGCAATCAGGGGCAGCTGCTCCCTCAGCTCTGACTTGTAATCATCTAGGTGAGAAAAAGGCATTAGAATGCTGCCCACGTACCCTTTGCATACAGCTGGTACTCAGTGCATGATACCAAACACATGATACGTGTATATACATGTGTATGTGTGTGTATATATATGTATACAGTTTCCATGCATCAGAGCTGTGCACCTGACCACAACAAAGAGTAATATTTAAGTTGCAAATAAACAACAACAAGAAACAGAGGACAATGACAACAATAAAGATGAAACAGCAGTGACAGAGAGAGAATCTGGGAACTAAGGGCTGATGACATTTGTCTTGGAGCAGAGATGACTCCAATCTACATCCCCTCACTTGGAAGGTCTCTCAAAGGACTGTCAGCCATGCCAAGGATGATCCAATGGAGGGGAATTATCCAAATGAAAGCCACTGAAATATCTCCCAACGTATGACGTTATTGAAATGTAACATAGCCAATAGATTCATGGAGCAGATATTCAAAGAGCATCCACAGTCAGCCAGCACCTCACTGCACCAGGGGCTGAGGAAGATGAAGAAATGCCTGAGCAAGGGTCCAGCACTCTAACCTCCCACTCAAGAAGAAAAGGATCAAGGCTTCTGCCAACTGTTAAAACCATGCTGTACTGCACATGTTAAACATGACTGTTTCTGGATTAGAACCTCTGTGTGAAGAGCAGAGTATTTGCATGTTTAACAAATACTCCGGGTGACATTTATGCTCCTCCGTGTTTGAGAACCATCCTACAACTATGTGGGTGGAGAAAGAGACTTCTAAGGACAAGGATGTTGGTGCTTGAAGCCTCCCACAGTAGAGAAATCCATTTTAAAGACAGGAGGTAGAGTTTCAGTTGCCCTCAGCTGAGAGCTTTTTGTAACATGTGTGTTTAAGAGAATAAATGTGGCACACCTATAACTTTGACTCAAGCAGTACAAAAGCAATCCATGTAACCAAAACATTTGTACCCCTATAATATTCTGAAATATAAATAAATAAATACATAAATACATTTGGCAAAAAAAGAAAGTTTCAGAGCACCACAGTGTAGTGTCCTCAACAATGTCCAAACTTCACAAAGCAATATGAAACATGAATGTATTAAAAACAATTGGGCATCTAAGTCATAGGTTAGCACACTGTAGCTAAGAGCAGCCCAGGACATTAGTGGGTCTGTCCCATGTGGAGGTCACCAGCCCAAAGTATGGCCATCGACCTTGGGCAGGATTTCACAGGGTCCCCCCAGCCCCAGTGACCCTGGCATTGATCCACCTTCAACTACCTTTGCTCTGCTGGCAGGCCTGCAGCCTCAGTGAACGTAATCACTACCAAGGGGTGAGCTTCGGTCATTAAGATAAATACTCCCAAATTTGGCCACTTACCAGAACTCTCTTACATCCAGCCCCTCTTGGGTTTGCAAAACTTAACTGCCAAATGTAAAAGGAATAGCCTTCTTGGGAGAAATTTGTTACTTCTTGATTTGTCTAGCAGAATTGCCAAGAGACCAGTGCTCAGAACATTTTGAGTTTTGGGCTTTTAATCCTGTGTACCTCCTGTTGCCAAAGTGCCTATAAATCTAGATGGTAAGTGAGGTGCAGAGAGGGGGACAGAGTCCTTAAGGAAAAAGGAAACAGTCTATATCCTCTTCATACTAGCAACATTATTAATCTGAATGAACTGGCTCACCTTTCTACCCCATCTCACTATCCTCAAACTACAAGAGAAAACTCACCTAAAATAAACTCAAAACAGGTTGCAAACTCCAGTCCTTCAGGGGCCAGTTTACCCTATAGCACTCGGGTTTGGATCTTTGGGAGACAGTGGGCACCACAGGAGGGCAGCTGCCTCTCAGCTCTCAGGCAGGGGTCCTCACTCCAGAGTGCCCACCCACCCACGTTGGCTTCTCTTATGATTTTCCACAAGAAAATGAACATTCTGATTTGTACAAGAAACCATCTGATTTTTAAATGTTTCTAATTAACTTTAAAATTGTTTTAAAATACAATGTGAATCAATATAAAACCTCAAGCCCTATCGAACACCCTAAGAGCGTTGGCCTAAAATAAAATGCTATGTGAAGGGCAGACTGTTTTCTGTGTAATTTGACTAATTAAAGAAAAATGAAACACTTTCAATTTGGGAAGTTAGGAATAGACTGACATTTGGACAACTATCAGGAAACAGTTCAAATGTGAATAATAAATACAGACAGACAGGTAGGTAGATACATAAACTATGGCAAATGGCTAGCCAAGGGAGAGAGTGGTGGACGCAATCAGAAAGATACACCCACACGCAATGCTAAAGCTGCAGGGAAGTCAGATTTTCAGACCCATTGAAGGGAATAGTCTCAAGGACTGGTGGAGACAGTTGCACTAGAGAGCTAATAAAGCCCAAAGATAGAAGTATTTTTGGTGACAGACGTTCTGGCCTTGAGAACAGCTTGGTTCTTCTCCCTGGAGACACCTGAGCAGAACCTCCTGGGGGTCCCATGTGAAGCCTCTTCAAATATTCTGAGATCTTGGGTGCATGAGACTGCCACCCTCCAAAGTTTGTCTCTCGGTTTCCCTCCTAGAGACTTAGTCTCATGCAACCGTGCTGTGAGCTCAGCTTCCAGACCTCAAGCACAAAGGAGTAGAGTGTGTGCAAGGGTGAACCACATGGCCATCTGGACCTGGACACAAAGGGAGGAGTGGGCACCAACCCCTGAGACAAGTGTGGGTCTCATTGCTGTGCAAATGCAGGAGTGCACGTGGTGAGAGACCCTTCAACAGCAAATCCAATCAGACGTTGGGGGAGAAATGGCCCAGACTTCAGGGAGATGGCCTGCCTGGTGAATCCAGCAAGTTTCCATGGCCCTACCGGGAGGCAAGCCCTTCCAAGGGAATTCCACTGGAATTCAGCATTTTGGCTGTGAGTGCAGCATCTTCAGGGCTGCTTCCTGCCCCCCCCCCCCCGCCCCAAGGCCTGCCCTGTGCTCCTGTCCCTGCCCCCCTTACCGTCTGTCAGAGTTTGGAAGCACATCTTGCCGCTGAACTTGCCGTAGCCCGCCACCGTGCGGGCGCGCACCTGCACCACGTACACCATGCCGGGCCGCAGCCCATCAATCCGTGCCGTGTTGGTCTGGCTCCTGGCCATGGAGGAGTTGAACTCATTGTGCTCCTAAAAAAGAGCAAGGGAAAAGGGTCACCAGCCTGCTCCTAAGGGCTGTACCCTCAGCTGCTCCGCCCTGCGGTACTCAGGCCCCATCAGTTCTTGGCCCTACAGCTTTGCTAGAAGTTGTCACCAGCCCCAGGCCATCCCTCTGAAAGGGAACAAGAAGCCTGGACCACAGGGATACAGAGTCAGCTCTGGACTATGAAGAGGAGGAAGGAAGAGGTCTGAGGAAATGGATAAGCTCCCAGGGCCTGGCAAGGGGGGCTTATATCACTTTCTAGCCCTTTACCCCCAGGGTTCAGAGGTGGAAGAACACAGCACATCCACCTTTGCAAAATCCTTTCAAATTAGATCTCAGCAGAAGCAAACTGGGAAACGTCCACCCATTCCCTGCCTGCCTCTCTTTGTCTTACTTCTGCTGAGCTGTGCATCGGGTTTTCCCTCCCCACTCAAGATCTCCCTGGTCACTAGTTGCAATGGCTGTCCTAGATCACTCCTTAAGTTCCCTCAAGTGCTTAGGCAAAGCCTTTGTGTCCACTCTACTGAAGAGGTTGAGGCCATTCTGGATTACCTCCCACACCTGCTTCTGCCATCACCCTGGCCTATGTCTGGGTGCCCATCCCCCAGCTGCTCCCCACCAGCCCCAGGGAAGGCATGCCCCTTCTCCCTGGAGAGTAGGCCCTGTGTCCTCATGCCCCACCTAGTGGGGTCAGCTCCACTCTAATCTGTCATGCCCTGCAGCACCTTGAGTGCTGACCTCCACAGCCCCTGCCACCTGCACATGTGAGACCTCTGGTGTAAGCATGTTCGTGTGTGTCTTTCATCCTGACTTCTGCCTATCACGAGCTCCCTTAAAGGGTGGCTTCCTCTTTGTGCTGTTGATCTTACTGAACATGTGACCAGCGCCTGGACCTCTGCAGCCTCCCATCTTTCCTGATGATCCCATCCACCTCACCTCCACCCAGTGCCACAATTCTTTTCTTAAAAGGCATTCCTAAACCTATCATCATATAAAAACAAAACTCCTAAATCTAAGTTCACAGGCCCTTCCAATGAAGTCAGTTCCAATCTCTCACATCCTCCTAAATCCAGGGATGACACCCTGGCCACCAGGCCTTTGCTGAGGCTGTTTTCCCAGTCTATAATGCCTCTCCAGGGCTCCTCTGCTCCCTCCAGGCTGCTTTAGCCTCTGTCCCCAAAGTCCCCTCTCTAGGAAGGCCCCCTCACTGCTCTGGCCCACCAACTCTCTTCACTTCTGTCCTTCCAGCTTACACCTCGGTCTTAGCATATTCATACACACCAGCCTGCTCCATAATCGTTTTCCTGAGAGCCTATCTTTTTTTTGCAGAGGTTCTGGGCTATCTCCAAGCATACAGGAACCAAAGCTTAGAGCCTGGGCCTGCCTTTGGCTGCATCATGAATCCTAGAGCAAAGATGACCTTATGTGTATTCATTACTCATTCATTCATTGGGCCAGGCAGTTATATTTATGACACACTACCACGTCTGGTTGCTGTGCATGGGCTGTGGGTACAAAGGCATGGTCCTTCTCCTCTGCGGACAGAACATCTTGTGGGGTGGACTGGAGAATGTAAGATGACTACAGTGTTGGCTGAGTGACTTGGCAGAGGGCAGCTCAGGGGGTTGTGGGGCCACAGCCCAGATTTGGAAGGGAATCCAAAGGGGGTCAGGGAAAGGGTGACAGGAGCTGAGTATGAAAGATGAAAGAAATTAGCCACATGGATGAATGCAGAGAGTGAGAACAGAATTAAACATGCAAAATCAAGGCCCAGAGGGGTTTAGAGCCTGAAAGCAATGGGCATATCTGGGGTGTGGGTGGCATAGAGGTGGGGAAGATTTAGAAGCAGTTGTAAGAGGCTACAGGTTTGAGACCAGCCTGTTCTAATGGAGGGGATGTCTATTGCCCCCTGGGGGAAACTGCCTGGGGAGGAACTGCCCACCCACCCCTTGATCTCCTCCAACAGCAGGGCATCCTCCCCACTCTCAGTAAGGGATTCAGCTGAAAGCAGGCTGTCCACTAGAGAAGGGATGTCATATAGAACTTTGGTCATTACTATTTTGACACACTGAAGATCTGAGATCTGAACCTATGAAAAACACCTTGTCATCTTGCAAATAGGATAAAGTCCCATTGCTACACAAATCCAGACAGCTGGCTGAATTCTCTGGTTTTACTGGAATCTGATGGAATCATGCTGTGCTTGAAATATGTGAAGCAATGACTGGGTAGCTTTTACTGAAAAAAAAAGTGTTTTGATATATTGGTATTTAGATTGTGAGGACTAAACATCACTCCATAATCACTTTATAGTCTGCGCATTCTTGAAGAAGTTCAGTGATTAAAATGAGTATCAGTATCTTGTTCCCCACAAAATCATAAATCAATTCCAGACAAGTGTGTGAGAGCCATAAGCAAGGTTGCTTATGACTGATTTCCTAGGTGTGTGGGAGATAGAGGATGGAGGATGCAGCTGTTGAGGGCAGAGACCATGTCTCTCTCATTTCTCCATTCCCACCCCGACATGCAGCGCGGCACTTGCACCGCCTGGGCGCTCAGCGACTTAGTGCTAAATGAATGAATAAACAGCATGCTTCAGTCCGGTTATGTGAACCGATCGATTGAGCACAAGATATTACCAGCGTCTGAAAGAGTTTCTATGAGAAAATGATCCTAAAATTCGAAAGGCAGAAATTCCCAAGGCCTAAACCAGCTCAGGCTAGCCTAGACCGTTAGTATGAGGAGCGAGTAACCACCTAGACACTTAATCATTAAGACAGCGGAGAGCAGATGTAGACGCTCCTCCCATGGTTTGCCCACAAGTGCTGACGCCAGGAGTGAAAAGTGCTACACGACAGTAAACAAGAGAGAATGATGAATGGAAACGTATTAAAATGGGGATGGAGATGGACATGAGAGAGGCTCTGGGAGTGTCACCAGCTTGATGGCACCCAAGCTCTCTATTAATGAGCTGGTGGGGGAAGCAAAAGCCTCATTGTTTCCATTCACAAAGTGAAACTGAAAGTTGTCCCAAGCACAAACCTAGGGTAATGTGGCGCAGGAGACCCAACAAGGCCTTCAGGGGGTTGCAAAATTGCCCCCCAGGGCCAGAGACCAACCTGTTATTATAAATTAAGTTCCATTGGAACCCAGCCACTCCCATCTACTTACATATTGCCTATGGTTGCTTTCCTGCTACAAAGTCAGAGTTGAGCATAGTAGTTGGGATGCGACTATATGGACCACAAGCCTAAATTATTTACTCTCTGGTCCTTTACAGAGAAAGCTTGCTGACTCCTAGTTGAAATGAAGGGGCTGGGATATCCCTGGGGAAGAGGAGGTGGCACAGGATGAGGGATGGTGGGGTTTGTTCCAGCTGAATCCATGACATCTACTGGGCTGAATTCTATTTGTGTTAACATCTCCTAAAGACCAGGATTCCACGGCCAAGTGAAGCAGGTAGGCAGATCATTCAAGTATTTGGATTTAATATGAAGATATAATCTTTTATTTCAGAGGCCACACTAATTTGAGATTCTTAGCATCGGTGACGATTGCATCCACTCTTGTATCCAGCTCAGATATTTCCAACACTGAAATATAATACAAACGTCTATAACTCAGGTTCTATGACTTGCCAGCTGTGACCTTGTGGTCATGGGTAAGTCCTTTAACCCTTCTATGACTTAGCTCTATCATCTATGAATTGGTTATATCTGTTTTCAAGCATGTTTCTTTTGTTCTTATAAGGATCAGAGCTAATACATCTGTGTATATCTGGCCCATAATATGTGATTCATATATCATGAGTTATTATCATTGCTTCAAAATGCCCTCATGGGCTAATATCTTTTTCTTTAGTCATATGAGAAATGGTCAAGGCAGTGTAAAGGATTTTATCATAGTTAAGCCCGTTACAAGTGAAAGTGAGTTCTACAGTAATATACCAAATGGTAACCAATGCTTTGGCAAAGATCTTTCTGTGTTCCCATGGAAAGCACTCTATCCTCTGGAGTGGGGACAATAATATGCTTCACCGAGGTGTGGAAGCTGCCTCAGGCAGTGGGCTGCTCTGTACTTGTGTCTGTTAATTATTAGTGTAAATTACTAGGGGCAGGAAGGAGGCCCAAAATAGGAGAATAAGCTTCCTTCCTCACCTGGGCTAATTGCAGTTTTTCATAGGAGGAGGCTCAGGTGTAAAGAGTGGGGGAGCCTGGGCTAGTTTTGGAGGAAGGGGCCCAGGTCACAGGCCTGAGCCCTAGGGCTTCAGTCCAGGGCCCATCGTCAAGCCCTTGAGCCCTGCCCCAGCTGCCCACAGAAGTCACAGAAGTGACAGCCCAGGTATAGCACACGAGGAGGAGCAAGTGGCCTGCATACACTCTGCCCCTTCCCAGCACCACCGCTGCCGCAGGGCAAAGGGCCCAGGCTCACTTCCTGACTGTGAGATCTAGGCAAGTATTTTTCTTTTTCTTTTCAAACTTCTTTGTTTCCCTTTTTAAAAACTTCTTTACCCACAGCAATGATACCAACATTTCCCACCATGGTGTGTGAGAGGGAAAGTAGATGTTTATAAAGGCCCTGGCACACAGTAGGTGCACACTAGGTATGATAAATTATTGTTATTTTTCTGAGATGAGTTGTTATGTCAACAGGGCTGTGTATGTAGGCCGGGGCTGGGTAGACCCTTGCTGATGACTCTGAAGTCACACCATATCCTGGCCACACGTGGTACTCTGTGGAACCATTGGTCAAACTTTGGCAACGAAACCATGTGGTCAACTGACCCAAACATATTGGTCTGAAACATGTTGAAAAGTCAACATTTACTTTGTTAACAGACAAAAAATATCTGGCAAGTTAGGGCCCCAAATCCAAAGTGGATTGGCTATAACAGGTGCTTATGAATCCAGATGGTGTACATTACCCCCAATTCACTGAATTATCTAAATCGACCATTTACAAAACCTCATATTCTCTAAGTAGAAGAGAGCGCTGCTTAACCTCCACCTTGCTTGCAAGTTCGGCTGTGATGGCTGAAGGGCACACCTCCTCACAGCCTAGACTGGCGATCCATCTGGACCTCCGCCTTCAGGGAGGAAAATTGCTACCATTTACAAATGTGAAAGCTGTGACCTACAGTGGCTAAGTAATGTGACCACAGCTGCATGGCCGGTCACCCATGGAGGGCACTGGAAGCTCGGGCTTCTGCTGCCCAGAGCAGGTGGCCCCACTGTTGAGCATGGTCTCCCTATTGCAGGGCTGCGGGTCTCTGTCCTGGATCCCCTTCTCATTTCCATTGACCTACAGGGTGACCGCACTCAGGCTCAAGGTTTCCATACCATCTATGTACTGCCAATCCAAGATGAACATCTTCACCCGGGTCCCTTCCCCTGAACTCTGGACATGCACATCTTGCTGCCTACCTCGCCTCTCTGCTTGGCCGTATTACAGGCATTTTAGACACAGAGCTGAACTTCTGTTCCTTCCCTCACCCAAAATCTGCTCTAACCACAGTGATCCCCTTTTTGGTCAATGGTGGCTACATCCTTCTAGTCAGATTCTGGCCCAAACCTTCCCATGTCTGAAATCCAACTTGTTAGAAATCCTCTTGGCTCTGCTTATAGTTTATATATCCAGAAATCAACTACATTTCAGCAATCTTCTACTTCCACCCTGGTTAAAGCCGAACTAGCAGGCCTATTTTCAATGGAGCAGCCTGAATAATCCTTTCAAAATGTAAGTCAGATCTTGTCCCTGCTCTTATCCTAAACCTGCTATGGCCCTAATACACTCAACAGAAACACTCTAGTCCTTGAGGTCCAGCATGATGACCTCCCCTGGCAACCTCTCTCATCTACTACTTCCCTGTTGCTTACAGTACTTCAATCATGTTGGTTCCCTTTCTGCTCCTGGAGTCATCAGACATGACTCTGCCTCAGGGCCTTTGCACAGGCTGTTGCCCTTTCCTCTCCCAGATAGCTGCTTTGCAATAACCATATCTTCTTCAGGTCTTTACTCAGACCATACCTTCTCCAAGAGGCCTATGTTTACCCTTCTATTTAACTCTGAAACCTGCTCCTCTCACAAGCCTTTCTCTCCTGATTATTTACTCTGCTGTTTTTTCCTTTTTCCTTTGCACTGCTCATTTGCTAACATACTATATGATTTTCTTATTTGTTACTTTTATTGTTCATTGTCTGTCTTCCTCTGTTGGAAATTAAGCCCCTTGAGGGTGGGAAATTTTGTCCGTTTTATCACTAATATATCCTAGAATATCACAAAATAGTAGACACTCAATAAATAGTTGCTGAACAACAACAAAAAAAATGAATCTGGTGTTTTTACAAATAATGTGGTGGGTTACTATAGAAAGTACTGTATTTTCCTGGGATTTTTGCAAATGCTGCAATCACCATGGTACCAGGGAGGCCCTACTTTCCTTGCAGACAAGGAGGGACCAACTCCACAATACACCATTTCCCTTTTCTTGGCATCACAGGCCCTGCTATAGCCCCAAGCAGCGGCTGCTAAAGAGCAGTCAAGGAAAATAATACATAAATTTCTAGGAATTTTGGCCGGGCGCGGTGGCTCGTGCCTGTAGTCCCAGCTACTTGGGAGGCTGAGGCAGGAGGATTGCTTGAGCCCAGGAGTTTGAGGTTGCTGTGAGCTAGGCTGACGCCATGGCACTCACTCTAGCCTAGGCAAGAAAGCGAGACTGTCTCAAAAAAAAAAAAAAAAAATTTCTAGGAATTTCTATCTCCTCCTTTAAAATTTCCATTTGCATGTTTTTAACCTCCACAAATATATTAGTACAGTAGTATATGCACATAATTTATAAATTAAAAAAACTTATATTGGAGGTACCCAGTCAAAAACTTTGCAAACCACAGATCTACAAAACCATGAAATCCTCTGAAAGTTCAGGGACATCTGGCAGTTTTGTAGCATCTGCATTAGTATAGCAAGCACATGACCGGACAAATGGGACTAGTCCTGCTCATACCAGCCAGAACTATCCAGACAGCAGGGTGGTGCATTGGAAGGTTCTCTCCTAAGTTGATACAGAAAGTGCCTGGGCTTTGGAGGCTGTTGCTAGGACAGACCTGGGTACTCTCCCAGGGAGCCTCTGCCTTCCATCACCAGAGTCCGCCCTCCTGCAGGACTTCCTCTAGCCTGTATCCTTGTGCCCACAGATAGAAAACACCCATGGGGCAGTGGCTGGCCCTGGATGTTGCAAGCTTCAGGCAGAGCTGGCTCACCTTCTCATAGTACCGGATCTCATAGTCCAGGATGATGCCATTGGGTTGCTCCGGCTGTGGCCATGACAAGGTGATGCTCCTCATGGTGGCACTGACCTGGTGCATGATGGGAACAGTAGAGGGGGCTGTGGAGAGAGGAAGAGACAGTGTAGATGAGCAGACACTTGATTATAGGAGAAGTGCCACCTTTCAGAGACAAGTAGGGAGAGAAGTGTCATTGGGTCTGAACTCTGTCCTTTCTTTCTCATCAGCTGAACTAGACCTGCAGAACTTCTTGTGGGTTTTTCAGAATGAATGGAGTTTGGATAACAGAAGAGATAAAAGTTGATAATTTAGGAGAAGAGAGCATTCATGGGCAGGGGCTGGAATGGATTTGGTATTTTCATGGGCAGGGAGGAGAAAGGCTTGGCCGAAACAAGAGATGGCTAGAGAAATCGGGGAAAAAGACAGAAGGAAACGATGAAAAATTGAATGTTTTTGAGTAGAAGGTGTTGAATGAACTTCAGTCTTTCAGTAGTCAGCTGAGTTAATGCAGAGAGGAGAACCTGGGGGCAAGGGATGATAGTGAGAGAGGAGAACTGGTCAGTGCAGAATTACTGTGCAATGGAAAGAAGGAACATTCTAGCAAACATCTCTTTCTGGCACTGCATGTAGGATTTCATCATACTTCAAAAGGAAAATAGGAGGCATCTCTCAAGAAGACATGAACACAGACCAACAACAGAGGTACTGTCAGAGTTTTCCAAATGAGGACGTTTGCAGTAAGGAGTTCGCACATATAAATGAAGAAATGATTGATACACAACCCAAACATTTGGAAACAGGATAATAATTCCAAAATCTGTAAAGTTGATTCAGAAATCTCCGTTTAGAAATAATGTTATTTATTTCCCAATCCGACATTTCTTACACAGTGTAAGTAAAGTGAAAACAGTCTGGAAATAACAAACGAGGGCTGTCTTTCTCCGGGCAGAGGTGGGTAATGGATGAGGCTTCAGTCTGCGCTCTGCTTAGGGGCTGTTCCGTTTAGTCCTGGCACTTCTGCAGCAATGAAGGTCATTTCCTCACTTGAACTCCACTTTACAAGGCTTTCTCTGGGGACTCTGGCTGAGTGACATTTACTATCCTCAATTTAAGCTAACAGATTCCCCACAAGACCTGGAATTACAGAGCGCTGCTACCGGGTCGCAAGGGCAGGGGGCTGCCGTTTCTCCCCTACTCAGTGGGCTCTCAGTGAGCACCTACTATGTGAGCCCCTGGGAAGAAGAAGCAGAGCACTTGTCCCGAAGATGCTCCTGGTCCAGGGAAGCCATAAAGAGCGAGGAGTGTGAGAAGTGTTGTGATGAGCCCTTAGAACCAGAGTGTCCGCTGGGACTTGGAAGGTCAGTTTGCAGTTCCCATTACAGCCCTAGTGGCTGCCGTGAAAATTCACCTCTCAGAGCTCCTACTCCTTGGAGAGTACTTGACTAATGGCCCCGGGGCTGCCCTCTGAAGTCCATCCCCACATTCACACCGACGCCTCTCTTCTCACAGGCTGCTCCCAGCCAGTGACCGAAAGTAGCAGGGATGCTACCCGTTCCTGCAAGATACAGGACCCTTCTGATGGGAAACTTTCACTCAAAGGCTCATTATTAGTCTTGCCGACATCTCTTTATAACAGCACAGCAGTTTCAGACTCTTCATTCCCCATCCTCCTTCCTTCCCTCTCTCCTTCTCGGGGGTCAGAACTTCACTGTAATCCGATGGCTCTCCCAGCCTCCCCTGGCTCCCATCCTATTTTCTCAGTAGACCTCTTGCACATCTAATCCCACCTTGGTGTCTGCTCCGTGGAGGATCTGAATCAATGCAGTTCTGAATCCCTCTACAATTTCCCTGTCAAGTATTTGCTGCCAAGCTTGTGCTGTGCCTTAGGCATGGAGACTCCCTGCCTCCAGGAACTGTTGCTCCATATTGGGATAGCTCTCACCAATTTCCATATCTTTCTATGCTTATCTGAAATTTGTCTTCCTCCCACTCCTCTCAGTTCTGCCAACTGAAGTAAGATAGGGTGCTCCTTCCTCCACAGAATGTCTGTCAAATATCTAAAGAAACTAGCTTGATCTTCCTTGAGTTATTCCTACTGAAAACAATGGTCAGATACTACAAATATTTCTCCTATGACCAGGACATGCCACACAACTTAGCTCTTTTCCAAATGGGGACCATGTCATCTAAATTCTCTTTAAGCATGAGGCCCAGCAAAAGAACAAATTTTAGTTTCATTGTCTGAGCAGCAAAGATTAGAGTAAAGCTAATATTTACCATGATCTGTGTACTATACATCTATTTGTATGACCACTAGCCTTTGGATCAAAGACACGTCCCTGCTGTTCGAATCTGAAATCACAGCCAAATATAACCTTAAGGTTTCCCAATGATACACTCCTCATTTTTTGTCTGCAGAGTTGGCTTTTGGTTTTGATTATGGGGATTTACATGTATCTCTTTACCTTTGAGATATTAAATTTGGCCTATTAATATAGTAAGTTGAAATAATTTTGACCTTGATTCAGCTATCAAATCTATTTTCTCTTCCTCCCAACTTAGCATTGTGTATGACCCAGGCTAATTAATTAATTAAACAAATATCTATCGAGCATCTGCCATGTGCCAGTCACTGTTTTAGGTTCTAGAGAAACCGTAGTGACAAAATTAAAATTTCTTGCCCTCATACAGCTTATTTTCTAGTGGAGGGATTCAGAGGCTAAATAAATCACAAGTTATGTTAAAAGATGTTAAGTACAGTGGAGCAGGGGGAATGGATACAGAATGCCACAGGTGGGAGGTGTGTGGTCAGTGACAGCCACCCTGGGAAGCAGAGGCAGAGCACAGGGCTGGTGGAGGGGAGGGGAGAGCTGTGTGCATACCTGCAGCAAAGCATCTCAGGGCAGACGGTCTAATCTGTGAGTGTCAGCCAGTGGGACCCGAGCAGTGACGTGGCCATAGTGGGCAGGACCCTCAGGGACATTAAAAGGACTTTGGCTTCTACTCTGAGTGAGCTGAGGATCCACAGGAGGGTTCTTGACAAGGCAGTGACATATTCTGACTTGCATGTCAACAGTATCACCCTCTGCTGTGTTGCAAATAGAATGCAGGGGACCATGCAGAAGCAGAAAAACATATTACATCCCTGTTGCAATAATCCAGCTGCCAGATGAAGGTTGCTTGGACCAGGTTTGAGCAATGGAGGTGGTCAGATTGGATATATCTGGCATATCTCCATAGATGTGGGATGTGGAAGAAACAGAAGAGTCCAAATGACTTTAAGGATTTTGGTCTCAACAACTGGAAGAGTGGGGCTGCCATCAACTGAGATCAGGGAAGATGTTAGTAGAAAGCAGCTTGGGAGGAAAGACCAGATGTTCCACTGTGGACCTGTTGGGCTTGAGATGGCCAAGGTGTCCCAGAGTAGATGCTGAGTGTTACATGGATGTATTATATAAGGTCCAAACTGGAGATACACATTTGGAGCAATGTATTTCAAAGAGTTTGAAAGCAGAGGAACTGGCAGAGATCAACAAGAAAATGAGCAGAATAGAAAAAATACTCTAAGATTCAGGAAATGAGGAGAAAACAGCAGTCTTGAGAAAGAAAGTCCAATGAGGTAGAAGAAGAACCAAGAGAGTCTGATTGCCTAGAAACCAAGTGGAAATAAGTGTTCCCAGGAGGAGAGAATACGTTAAATGCTTCTGCTAAGTCAGGTAAAATGAAACTAAGAACCGAGCCCCAGATTTAGCAACAGGCTCGATGGTTAATGAAGTGCATGGCACGTGATCGTCTTTCCCAAGACCTTGCCTGCATGGGACAGAGCTGTGGGGGAGGACGAAGGCAGTTTCAGGAAGGGGAGGCAGTGTTCTGGAATCCCAGGGCGTCCACTAAGACAGGGGTGAACGGACGGCTCCCAGTAACTCTCTTCCCTCCCATGGCACACTGTGTCGTCACTCCAGACTGCCCTCTCCGGCCTCCACGGAAGCACAATTTACATGTTAATCATGTCAGCACCATGCAGGTTCTCAGAATCCCTCTGTCCCGAGAGCTGAAGCATCACGTCTTAAAAACTGGAAAGATCAATGCTAAGAGCCTGAGGATTTTGCTGGCCTTGGTTCTTCTCCTAGCCTGGAATCCCTGGAAAGCCATCGTTAAAAACTCAACACGTATTTACCAGACATCATGCCAGGCCTGCTCCAATCACTGGGGACAAACGGACAGAGAAGAAAGTCACAGCCCTGCCTTTAAGGTCCTTGGAGTCTGGTTGGGGTCAAATTGTAAAGAGGCAATCACAGGGCAGGGTGATCCAGAGGCAATCGATAGCCAAAATCCATGGGGGAGGGGCCTGTTACGCAGATGGCAAGGACTGCCCCAGCAGCCCGGCAGCAGCACACAGGCCCGGGAGGAGCTGCCAGAGAGGAGTGGCCATCCCTGCCTGCCTGCACTTCTTGGATTTGTGGCCATAGCACGATGGTCATAGGTCCTGTGGAAGACTGTGTGTCCTCACGCAGCTCACTCTAAATGTCTTACAGTGCATTGCAATGGGATTTAGCACATGGGAGAAAGTGAGAAAGCATTTTTCCTCCTCCCTGGAAATCAGAGGCAGCTCAAGTTAGGTGCTTTGCCATCAGCAATCTCCTACAGTGATGCATTTGGTTTCTGCCTCACTCCCAAGGGCAAAAGTCACCTCTACATCTGTTATTTTAGGTGTTATAAACCTTCAGACAAAACAGAAAATAATCAAAATGAGCTCTGGTATTCACTCAAACACAAACTTCTTCTAGCAAAACTAAGGCAGATTAAAGAGAGATGGGAAGATTAATTCAAAGACGCAGCCCCCGTGACCCCCAGACACAATGGTTTCGACGGTGAGTCCTGGCCAGGCGTCTTTTCTCCATAATCACCAGATGAAAGGATAGTGCCATTGAACGCTTGAAAGCATCTCCTTTGCAAACCCACACAAAGCTTTTGACTAAATTAAACATTCTCCTGAGAGAAGGAAATGAAAATAAAGAGTTCACGAGATTATTCGAACTTAGCAAAGGAACAAATATGGACCCTTCTTAAGTTTTCTAAGAAGAAAGAATTAATTTAGGAG